TGGAAGTTACGTGAGTTCCCATCTGCTGGCTTCTACCTTATCCCCTGGGTCTGCTACTGTCCCTTGGGATAAAGGTCATATGTGCAACGCTTCACTGTCAAGCCAACTGCAAATGCTGTTTCCCTTTCTTCACTTACCTGATGCCCACTCCTTAATCTATGAAAATCGAGCTTTACCCACTACAGAAACTGTCCTCCCTGTGGAATCAAGAACTTCCTGAATGTTCCCAATAATCTCTTAATGGTAAGACCCATTGACCTCGTTTCTGCACCAGTTTCTGGGACACCCTCATCCCACAGTTCTCCTACATCCTGCGCATCCCGAGCATCACTCCTCGTTGTTCACCTTCTGTGTACTTATTAGATGCTGATGTGCTCCAGTGTCACATTTCACCATCTCTCCTAGTCCTACCAGCTTTTCCTGGTTAACCTTACACAGATGGCACTTACCAGCAGCGATTATCAATTCTCTACCACCGATCTTTGTCCCTTTCCCAAGATCCAGTCCTTTCTTTCAATCCTACTAGATATTTTTTTTACCTCCATTCCTCTCAGGTGCCTCTAATACCACCTGTTCAAACTTAAGCTCGTTGGTCGCTTCCCCTAAAACGTGTTCCTTTTTTCTTCCTCTGTAGTCAGTGATTTCACCATTCACTCAAAGCCAGGAATCTTACTGCTTCTGTCCAACTACTTCTTGCAACCAACCAGGTATCAGGCTTCGGTGCATTTCCCTCAAAACAACTTTTCAGATCCGAGAGGAAGCCCAACACCACTCTGTTTTTCAACAGGTACTGCTTATGTGTACATCATCCCAGATAGCCTCCTGTGTTAGTGTTAGACCAATTGGTTCTACCTGCCTCCAGACTGCTGCCGAGTTCATCATTCAAGAGAATAATCTCACTTCTTGAATGCCTCCACAAGCTTCTTAGTGCCACCACGGAGGGTGGTATAACTTGACAAGTGTCAATCATCTTTCGTCTCCTACTAAGCTCTTGGCACAGCCTTAGAGCTTCACCCACCCAGGGTGTGGTCAGCAGTGACATCATGAGGGACTTGTTAAAAAGCAAAATCTCAGGCCTCACCGGACTTTCTTATAAGAACGACTCAGATACACATCAAAAGTTCAAGAAGTGCTGGTTAGATGCGTTAATGAACTGAATTTCTCACCTCCCGAGACACATCATACCCTTTCAGGTCTCCATGCCTTTGCAAAAGCTGTACCATCTGCTGGGAATGTCCTATCAAAACTCTGCACCTTGCAAAGTTCTATACTACTGTAAGGGCACCTAGCACAGGCACAGAACGTAGTAGCCAATAAATATTTGAATGATTGGATCATGTAATCAATTAATTAATGGATGAGTTTGGCTCCAGACTTGCAGAATCTGAGACACTCAAGAGCACTCAGGTGGAATGTGAGTGTTAGGCAGTTGGACACAGTGGCCCAGAATTCAGAGGAGAGGTGGACTGAGCTGGTACTATTTTTAAGTCACTAGCAACTATTTGGAGGTTATAGTAATGGATAGACGAGGTCACCCACATTTAAGATGGAGAGAAGAGGACTATGGGCTAAATCATGGGGAAGGCTGGGATGTAAGGGACCTACTATGAAGTCGGTGAAGAGCAGGTTAGCAGTGTGGGAAAGAACCAAAGTAGGTATCAAGGAGCTCCAAAAAGATAAATGGACTTGGCGCAGGGTTATTGTTACCTCTGTCAATTGAAGTGGAACAGAACAATGAAATCAAAGATAAGGCAAGAGCTTAGCACTTCTTTAGACTAACAACTGAATGAGACAAGGCTATTGGAATGACCACTACAAAGACCATCTTTATTTGATGAGAAGGGAGAGAGAGCTGGAACTGATGAGAGCCACCTCATATACACAGGCCTATTGATAAAAAGGCTGCAAACTTTCAGTCACACGACATTTGCTGAACATTTGCTATTTGCCACACACCATAAGCTAACACTGGGACTATAACAAGAACACAAGTAATGCCCCTGCCTTGTGATCTGTGAGCGCAATGAAATAAACTGAGTAACTGATGGACAACCCACAACAAATAGGGTAAGGAGCCAATGTAAAGTGGCTTGCCTCGGAGGAGGGGCAACATTTTTTAGGTAGTTGGTATAATGGCCAAAATGTAAACAGTAAGAGAGGTATATGGAGGGGATAAAGTTCACATTTAATCTTCATATTTTTTATGCAAAGGAAGACTCCAGGAAAGCAAAATGATAAAACATTTCACTTTGCTCCATAATGACTGAGATGGTAGGATCCCTATTCTTGACACACAAAGCACTGAGAGACACACGGAAAGGACAGAGGCCTGCAGCCATCAAAGGGCTAACAAGTGGTGGGGAGACAAGTACTTTTTAGCTTCACTCATGTTGACAGTGTGAGAAACAGCAGCACCCCAAACTTTAACAAGATCCCCGGGTGATGCTGATGGTGGTACATGGGACACATGAGTTTACAACACCCGCCTAAGCCGTGGTTCCTCATGTTTTCCTAATAGTGTCTGAAAGCATTCAACTAAGATCAAGAAATGAAAGGGCTAATAATAAAAGTCTTCAGTATTTGGCACATAGTCAAACCAACAGCAGGTTCTTACTACATGACAGATAACCAGTGATAGAAATTTAAGGAGGTCAATTAGAGGTAACCGAAGAGGAAAGTGGCTGCTTTAGAGGCAAAAATAGCATAGTGGTAAAAGCAAGGATTAAGAAGGAAATTTGTGACCTTGGCAAATTAAGTTATATAACTATTCTGTGCCTCAGTTTCCTCACATGTACAACAGGGATCATTATAATACATACCCTCCAGGGTTGCTAGGTAGAGGGAGTATATGTAAAGCCCTTAACAGTACCCTGACATTTAGTAACTGTTCGATCAAGGCTTTAATTTTACTACTTTTGCTACAGCTCTACTACTACTGCTACTATTACTACTGGTAGTATGACCTGCTACTGGGTAGGTAATAAAATGCATCAAGAGGATGTCCACTAGCAACCAGAATATATAACAAAACTCTTTACAACCCATATGGAAACAGATCTAGAGGAAAAATAGCACTGCAATTTTTTAATATGTAAGCCTCCTCCACTTTGGTTTGCCAAATGAAGGAGCCAATCATGTTACCACTCAAATCGAATTCATAGCAATGAGTGCCTAAAATGGCAAGAGTTATCTGAAGAAATACTCAAAGCCATACATCAATTACATAGCTTTTTGAGTTGTTCCCTAAGCAGGAAAACTGTACCTAAAAACAGTTGTCTTGTTAAGCTAAAGCTAAGCTAAAGTCTTTTCATGAGTTCACTATCCTAGTATACAGTTTATGAGTAGAAGGACCCTCCCTGTATGTATCAAAAATATCTTCAGTTGAGATTGTTCCTAACAAAGTGAGGTGTCCAGAAAAAATGAACTCCAGACAATTATCTGGACATCCCCGGGGGAAAAAAAATCCTCTACATGGTTTGTTATTCCACTTTTCTGCTATAGATGTAGACTAAAATAATTTTCCCAGAAAGAACATGCGTTTCCACTTCAACAGTTCAGTCCTTGACAAAACAAAGATGGGAATGTACCATGGAAACTGGTTACTGACCCTTCATCTTTTCCGGAAGCTTTACTTTGGAAATTTCACCCAGGTCTAAAGGATATGTATCAAAAAGGTGGAAGTGGTGCTATACATCGAAGATTAGACCTGTTAATAGAATGTTGATCCCATGAGTAATGCTCACAGATGTGGCATCCAACAATGGAATTAACATTTCAACAGGAAGCAGAGAGCCATCCCAACAAAAAGGGCCACCCAATCCTTCCGAACACTTAAAAAAAATCCTTCCAGAGGGTGCACAAAGTGTGCCTCCTGAGGGTCGCACCTATGGATTTTTTTTTTTTTAAATTAACCATTTGGTTCTAAACGTGACATGTGCTTACCTTGACAAACGAGATCAGTTAGTTAAAACACTGCCATGAAAACAGATCAGTTTTTTAAAGCGTCAAATGATTATGCCTTCTAATGGTCCACGCATTTTTTAAATGCCTTTTTTCCCTCCCGAGAAAGGCGCAGTCGAAAAACGTACTTAGCGAATCCTTTAGGAATTGCCCTGTACAAGTCATCCCCTCTTATCTTCAAAATGAATTAACTCATCATAAACGCAAACCAAGGTTACGAATTTCTTCTTTGCACTTTGCTCGGAGGCTGCAGAAATCATGACTGTACTTTTGCAGGTACCTAGTTTGGATTTCCAACCGTCTACTTCGTCGAGCTACCTTCTAGTTAACAGCTCGTGCTTAGGCTCGCCTCTTCTACGAGATCAAGAATGCTCAAGCTACTGTTCGTCTCGTGCTTGGGCTCGCCTGTTCTATGAGACCAAGAATACGCTCAAGCTACTGTTCGTTCAGCGCCTCTTTCCTAGAGGTAGCTTGGACGATCGGAGGCACTGAAAAGCTCAGTGTCTTATTTAATCATGGCGTTTGTAATTCAGCCTCCCCGCCTGGACTGCTCAACACCTGGAAACTCGCAGCCCAAGACTTTTGAAATCTAGTAACCCCAGACGGACACGACACAGCGGCTAACAAGGGAAAGGGCAAGAGCAAATAAAGCAAAGCTCGCACCCGCAGCAAAGAATGGTCTGGGAAAGACGCCAGGCGCACCCGGCATGCCGCGCCCACCCACCAGCGCCCGGGGAGCCCCTCCACTGCCGCCCCTCATCTCGGGGCTGGGTCCCTACTACCGCCAACTCCCACCCCCCGACGTCTCACGCCCCCGCATGGCTCCCTTCGGAGCCGTTCCACCTTCCCAGCTCGCACGCCTGGCTCCGCAAAACCACACCAGTGCAATACCGCCCGCACGGCCACCACTGCCACAGCGTCCCCAAATCGCACCCGTCCCCTCCCCCACGCCTTATTGTTCCCGGGTGGCCGCAGGCAGCGAGCGCCCCAGGGCGGTGCCGGCAATAGGAACCCTAGGAATCAAATTGCCCCCCACTCACCCGCGACTCCGCACAAGAGAACGAAGCGCAGCAGAAGCGCCATGGTGGCAGCCCGGCCGTGGGCGGTAACTGAAGGTAGGCGGCTCTCACCCGGGGTTTCAGTCACCCGGTGCCTGCGCGCTCCCGACTGGCTGGCGGCGGCGGCACCTCAGCACCCCCGTCCCACCCCACCCTCGCTTGGCAGGTGAAACACGTCACTTCCGGTAGTGACTGAACCCCGCGGCGCGCGCCGGCTCCTCCAGGAGCGTGGGGTTGCCATGGCAACCAGCGCGGGCTGCCCTAGGGATCCTCGGGAGTAGGAAGCTCCCGCGCCAGCTGCGTTCCGCGTTGGGGTGAGCGGGCAGGACTTCGCCCCAAGCACGAGCCGGGGGCCCTGCTTCAGTGCCTTCAGTTAAATCGGGGTTTGTGCACTAGGGTCGGGCCAGCCCCTCTCCCCAGACAACTGAAACTGCGGTCGCGCCCTTGCTTCAGGGTGCGGCACCGGACAATACTCGCCCGCCTGCCCCGGGATCCTGAAGGGCGGCAAATATGGCTGGCCCCGTGGGCACTCACCCCGCCCTCCCCTCAGGGTAGTAGGGAATGGGGGGTGGGTTTCCAGCCGTGTGTCCCACCTCTGGAGGTTTGCTGCGAGGTCTCCCACCCAAGACTCTAGGGAAAGCCAACTGAGCAGCGCCTCCCCCAACCCCCCTCAGCCTTTCCTCCCATTTCATTGAGTCGGTGCGCTGCTGTGGAAGGCTCGAGAAGGTGTTTCCCCATCTCCAGTAATAACTGAACCCCTAGACTGCGGCTTCGGATTTGGGAAATACCTGGGCTGGTTTTTTGACCCTTTGTATTCAAAGATTATTCTCTCCCTAAAATTGGCCATCAAGGACCAGTGAGCTTTAAAAGTGGGGTTAGGTAGGGGTGGTTAAAGGCTGGAGGAGGTCTTGGGGGGCCCGGGGAATTAGAGATTTTGAATCGCCTGGTCAACCTACAGTGTCACTTCCTGGTATCCTCCATACTCATTCTTGTGTCATTTGTGTTCTTATTTGCTCTTTGCAGATAACGTTTATTTATAACTGCTGATAGACTGTGGTGTTCTCGACAGTTCCATTATCAGGAGTGAATTAGAGGAGAAAAGCAGTGTGGTGAAGTGGGTAAGTTCTTGGGTCCCGGAATGGGACAGTTAACTGGGCAAGTAATTTAAATACACCTAGCTATGAAAATTAGATAAGATAATGCATAAAAGAATGTTTGGTCCTGTGCCTGGCACATAGTCAAGTGGTAGCTAATAAAAAATGTTATTGGAAAAATTCTTATTATTTATTGAACCAGCAAAGGAAAGTAAATCAGTTATTAGTAAGACCAAAGTTGCTCAACTGAAATGTAGCCTGGTGGTCTGTTATCCTGACTGCACATTAAAATTATCTAGAGGGGTGCCTGGCTGGCTTAGTCAGTGGAGGGTGGGACTGTTGATCCTCTGGGTTTGAGTTCGAGCCCCACCTTGGGTGTAGAGATTACTTAAAAATAAAATCTTTTAAAATACTAAAATAAAATTATCTAGAGAACTTTTACAAAATACCAATATCTGAATCCCCACTCCACTGATTCTGATTAAACTTGTCTCTAATGGAATTGTGACTGATCTAAGAAGAGTCCAGAGTAACTGCTAGGGATTTCCTATTAAGGAAACAAAAATTCTCCTGGATATAATTGAAGGTATAAAATATTTGGAACTTAAATTTTTACTCAATACATTATACTTAATGAAATTAGACAAGGGGCGCCTAGGTGGCTCAGTTGGTTGGGCAGCTGCCTTCCGCTCAGGTCATGATCCTGGAGTCCCAGGATCGAGTCCGCATGGGGCTCCCTGCTCAGCGGGGGGGGGGGTCTGCTTCTCCCTCTGACCCTCCTCCCTCTCAGGCTGTCTCTCTCTCTCTCAATAAATAAATAAAAATCTAAAAAAAAAAAATTAGACAAGAGTATTAAAGTTATATAATCTATTTCATATCTATTTCAGACTGTTATATAAAATTTTTCTACTATTAATTACTTAAAAGCACAGATTTATTTTAAGTGTCTCCTCTAGTAGAAATTAAATTCGGGCGCCTGGGTGGCTCAGTTGGTTAAGCGACTGCCTTCGGCTCAGGTCATGATCCTGGAGTCCCGGGATCGAGTCCCGCATCGGGCTCCCTGCTCAGCAGGGAGTCTGCTTCTCCCTCTGACCCTCTTCCCTCTCGTGCTTTCTATCTCTCATTCTCTCCCTCTCAAATAAATAAATAAAATCTTTAAAAAAAAAAAAAAAGAAATTAAATTCATCCTTCATGGGTTATCTCAACCACTTACTAGAGGAAATCTTTTGAAATTATCCAAAAGGATTTTTATCTTAATCCCTTTGCTTCTAGTACATTTTTTTTTTTTAATCCCTACCTTTTGCTTTCTTCTGTGGCACACATTTTCATACCTATTAATCACTTATCTTACTCTGAATATTTCTGGAAGGCCAAAAAGGCGCATTACTCATCTTTGTCACTCTTGGAAACCAGCTTATACTAGGTTCTCTAGTATTTGTTGAACTGAATATGTTCAATTCATATATTGATATATTGACATATATTAATAAAAGTATTATGCATACAGTAACTCAAATTATTATATCTTGATATATCTTTTTAGAATATACTTTTAAAAATATAAATTTTACAAAATTAATGTTTTATACTTCATTAGATTACTGAACACAAATTTTTCCAAGTGTATCATCAAGATTTAAGTAACTTTGAAAGGAGCAATTTATCTTATTCGGGAAACTAATTCTTTATACAATTATATTAAAGCTGGGGAAAAATAAGAAAAATTTTAAATGGAGTCATCTTTGGACTTTGGTTTGTAACTACATTATTTCATATAAACAGCAGCTAAAATTATGCAAATATTTGAAACTTATTAATGACACCTTAAAAAGCCTCTGTGACTATAGTTAGCTTGGAAATTATGTCTCCTGAAAGCTGTAATGAGATAATCTCATTAATTCTGGATCATGCAAGTTGATTGATATTTTCAAACCAAGCTAACAGCAGTACACAGCCATTAAATGAATTGTCCTATTTTAGTAAAGCACCAAGCACTGCACATTGTATAGCTTCTAAACCAGCAGACAGGTGATTCTTGGTCTGTCAAGAAGATGATAATTGTGGAGACAAACAACTATGGTTAATATAGCATTTGTTCTTACAAAGATATCTCAGCAGTAATGGATTTGTCAACACACCAAGAGATGATTAAAATCTTATGATCACATTCAGAGATTAACTTATTCTTTTTCTTTTTTTAGGATTTTATTCATTTATTTGACAGAGAGAGAGCACAAAGCAGGGGGAGTGGGAGAGGGAGAAACAAGTTCCCCACTGAGCAGGGAGCCCCATGTGGGGCTCTGGGGCTCAATCCCAGGACCCCAGGATCATGACCTGAGCCAAAGGCGAACACTTAACCAATTGAGCCACCCAGGTGTCCCAGAGATTGACTTATTCTTAATTAAAGGATTTTTACCTCTTCAGAGCCTGGAATATAAAAGCATGTAAAGCAAGAAACTTTCTTTCATAGGTGACACTGCTATTTTTACTTTCTGGAAAATGATAATGCTTTTCTTAAGAAATGAAGGTTTCTGGGGTGCCTGCCTGGCTGAGTCGGTAGAGCATGTGACTCTTGATCTCAGGGTCATGAGTTCAAGCCCCATGTTGGGTGTGGAGCCTACTTAAAAGTTTAAAAAAGGAAAAAAAAATGAAGGTTTCTCACAGTGTATTCTACTTAAAATACCAAAAGCATGGGCTTCATGGGTTAATACCATCCAAGTCATCTATTTACCCCTGTGCCAATGAATTTATAAATACATATTTAATTTTATGCCATGTATATAATATTTAGAAATCAACCCTTAGCCAGTGACCTGGAATTTTTTTAGATTCCTAATGTTACAGGATTTTTTCTCCATCAGTGCCCATGGTTCTTGGTCATGCTGATTCGAAGAATGAAGAGGTAGACCAGACAGTGGTGGGCAGCAAAGCAAGGCTTATTGAGTGATAGCAAAGTAACAGTACAAGGCTCCAGAGGAGGGAGGGGGACTGAGAAGGTTGCCATCGGGGTTTCTAAGTCTAGGGGTTTTTATGGGTTTGTTGGAGGGCTATTTTAATCTGATTAACCCTCCCTGTGCCTGTCATCCAATCAGTTTTTTGTCATCTATCACATGGAAAAGGGTAGAGGGCTCCTTCTAGGGTGGATGTAAAATCTTTTTAAGGGTGGTTTCCTCTTGGGGAGGGGGCGGCTTTGTCCCTGTCTGCTTTTGTTCCAATTATCCTTAATTCCTAATAATGTGATTCCAGAATGAACACACAAAAGTGGTAAGTTTAGGTGTTCCTGGCTGGCTCAGTCGGTGGAGTTTGCAACTCTTGATCTCAGCGTTGTGGGTTCAGTCTCCACATTGGGTGTAGAGATTACTTAAAAATAAAATCTTTTAAAAAAATGAGAAGTTTATACAGACCAAAATTGAAGATTTTATTGATGGCATTTTAACTTTCTTATCCAAGAACAGTCTCTATTTGTTCCGATTGCTTTCTTTGTTTTGGTCTCTCACTTCATACTAGTTGCTTTCCTCCAATTTCGGCTAATTCGTTGCTTTCTGCTCAAAGGTTAAAATAGGGCAGAAAAAAAGAAGCATATTGAAAGTTCTGGGTTTGTTGGTGACTGGGTCGATCTGGGGAGATCACCAGTGAAATTGCTTTTCTTTTTAAAGATTTTATTTATTTGAGAGAGAGAGAGGACATGAGTGCACACTCGTGGTTGAAAGGCAGAAGGAGAGGGAGAAGCAGACTCCCCGCTGAGCAGGGATCCCTTTGCAGGGTTTGATCCTAGGACCCTGAGATCATGACCTGAGCCAAAGTCAGACACTTAACTGACTGAACCACCCAGATGCCCCTACTTTTAGAAACAAACAAACAAAAAAACCCCCTGCTATCTAGCACTTGAGTGTAAACACATGGTGGGCCAGCTTTTTTTTTTTCTTTAATTAAAGCAGGTTACAGTGTGGGGCTTGAACTCATAACCCTGAGATCCAGAGTCGCATGCTCTACTGACTGAGCCAGCCAGGCACCCCTGGGCCAGCTTTCTGGAAGGATGGCTGGAATAGCATGGAGGGCATCAACTTCTGTGTATAAATCTCTGTATATAGTATATCTTTTTGATACCCCCTGTCCAAAGACCCACTTTTACCCACCCAGTCTTA